TTTTTGAATGAGTATTTGAGTGTGAGCTATAACATTACATTTACAATAGCGAATATTGGTGAGTAGATAATTAATAATGAAGCTATGGTTACAAATATTATAAAAAATCAGCAAAAGCAAATACATGCAACACAATTCTAGCAATAGTATTACTCTGATAATATTAAATAGTTTCCCATGTAAAAACATAAAGCATACTGAACAAAAGCACAATGATACATATGCGCGACAAGCATTCCGCACAAGCACAGCAGACTTAGTAGAGTTTGGCTGTAAACTCATCGGCAGTAGCGATAGCGGTTTCTTTTGCCCGCAGGTTGACTGGGCACTTGCAAAGCAGGTCATCGTAAGAAGCAATATAGACAGCAGGTTTACCTGTACGTTTGCGAACATATATTGAACCATTCCTTGTCCAACAGTATTTGAAATCAGCCTCCTTTGCACGTATTCTGGCATCGCGAAATAACTGTCGATTGGCTCTAGTAAGGCGCTCATTTATAAATATTTTCCGCTCAGGACTATTCAAAACGATGTCCTTACGACGTGATTTGGCGGCCCTCAGAAAGTCCTCTGGTATCGCCTTGCGAGTAAAACGGACTACAAGTGGACGTGGAATTTTATTTTCTTTCCCATCTCCGTCAGTACGGCGAAATCCGGTTCGAGCAACGCTATCTATGTCACCCTCTGTCATGTGTATTCCAATTTTTGAGGCAGTGACTAGAGTCAGATGATAAGGATTTTCATTGTTGACTTCTTCTAGTCCGATAATTTCGACCTCATTACCAAGAGACGATTGCGCTTGAATGTCTAATTGCCATTGCAACTGCTCAACCGTTTGTTTTAGTTGGTCACATTCCCTTTGACTATCCTCTAGAGACTGTAGACGGGCTTCTGTGTTAGTAAGCTTGTCGACAATATCATCCAAGCGAAGGTGGCAACGAGCCACGGCGGCAACCACTTCCGACAATTCATTTTTAAACTCTGTCATCGTTTCCCGAAGGAGACGCATTTCGTTAACTATTGAATATGTATCATCGTCGTTTGATTGGTCACCGTTTCTACGCGTTGCCTTGCGGATGGTGACGTTACTTGGAGATGCAGTGGAGCGTACCGGGGTCGAGGAGTTGTCTCCGCCTCTTTTTGTAATAGCCTTGCAGTGAGGGCAGATCCATGACTTTACTGATTCCAGCGGTAGATTTGTGGCATTAGTACATAGTAAATGAAATTTTTTGTGACAGCGCTCCACTCTGCATATGATGAAATCGTCATCTCGAATTACCTCTGGGCAAGCGGCGCACGTAACGTTGCCTCCGGTCCTCGGCATATTGCAACCTGTACTATGATCGTAGCGACAGGAAAGCGATGAAAGTCGATAATTGTCGCTTGTTACGTGATTTCGTTGTACAGAGCCCAACGACTTGTCCGCAAGGATGAGTCACGCGTAACTCGCCGGGTCGTGCTTGATGTTTACTTAATTGCACAATGGGTAGTTTGAAATTTAACTGATACTCAATCACTTGTCACGTTAATATCTTGTCAATTATTAGAAATTATATAATTTGTGTTCAAAATAATTAAAGAACGTGTTGTAATTAATGTTTTGATATACGTTTCAACCAAAATATCAAACTTTAGATCACAAAAACTATTTTATAACCAGGAATACAAACAAACGCGTACGTACTATAGGCCGTTCTATGACTCACACTATTGGGGCTGTTAGACCCTATTACAAACAATCCCATTCCCCGATGGTAATTGTTCGCTATGGTGATGGTATTTCAAGATGTCCAATATTGTTTAGATATAGACAGAGTCTGTTGCCAAACGAGATGACGAGCAAAAAAGTAGATGTAGGATTAATTACGAATGCTACAGGACACCGCCTTCGTGTACCGTCGGCAGAACAAGCTAACGCTGTTAAAAGAATTATTTATTTTTATTTATTTATTTTTTTACTCTTCATTACATGAGTTAAAGAATAAGTGTATTCAGTAGTAATCTATATTGTAGAAAGATAGTACTATAAATAAAAAAAAAATATTAATGCTCGGTACTTCATAAGCATGGATTTTAGAAGTAGGGAAACCAATGGAATAGAAACTATTTATTTATTTATTCTAGATGTAGTCTATTAAATAGATTACATCTAGATAGTGAATCAAGATAAATTACTTCAGGAATACAATTGCGGAATTCGTATATATTTTGGTCTACTTTTTACGTGATTTCGGTACAAATATATAGACACACAGACAAAATTTCTAAAAAATAGTTTAGCCTCTATTGACCTTATCTTTAATATCCATATTCCTTAAATATTTTTCATGTACAGACGTCATCTATTTACAATTTTATTATATTCTACCAGAGGGAGACTTTGTACAAAAATCGATTGCTTTGGTACCTCTGCCCCATTCGTGTTTCAACCGTGAAGCAGTTGTGTTTGCAAGGCTGTGTTTCGATTTGAAGGGTGGGATATGGCGTGAATTTACTGAGTACAGAGGAATAACATCTGAGTCCTCAGGAATGGCAACGCATGGGGGGTATCATGGATGAAACAGTATACTCTGTTATGTCCATGGTACTGCTCATGTCTATAGGCGACGGTTACCACTTTCCATCAGGTGGACCGTCAGCTTGTTTGCCATTCTAAGTTGTATAAAAAAAATATTATAGAAAATTATAATGAAGGAAAATAATACGTAATATGTCAAAAAGTACGTAATGTAATAAAAAAGTATATAATGATGATAATATTATTTTAAATACCACAGTTTTTTATATTATATCACAAAGGTGGCAAACAAGCATACAGTCCGTCTGCTGGTGAACGGTCACTGTATTCTATGGACGCCTACAACACCAGGGGTATCACGTGTGCCTTGCCGACCCTTAAGAAACCTTAATGTATCCTTTTTGAAGAACCCCATACTGCAGTCTCTATGGAAAACCTCGGCAGGGAGCTGATTCTACAGCTTGAGTTTTCGTAGGAGAAAATTTCCCTGAAACCGCATTGACTATTTAGGCTCAAACGTGTGAGGATGAATTTCCTGTCGACACCCTGCGAGCGGTGCAATGATAAAAAGTGTCTGTTAGGCATCCTTTCAATCAATTCCTCAGAACACAATCCGTTATACAATCCGCGGTTGTGTGTTCTAACACACAAAGAGAGGCCAAGTCTCACCTTAGACTTGAGGGCTCGATACCCTCTGTAAGTCTGTTTGTGACCCTCGTCAACAATTCTCATAGCCCGTCTTTGAACAAAGTCAATAGGACCTAGCTTAATAAATAAATAAACGTATAAATAAATCAAAATCATCGATTTGACAACTTTTAAAAATGAATTAAATATTATTTTAGCACATAAGTTCCTGACTAATTTGCTGACGGTACACCGTGCAGTTGACGAATTGAATTTTGATGAGTGACAGGCGGCGTCTGCTCATTAACATTTCGCCATCGACCATATCGCCATATTTGGTCTTTTGGCCACACCGTCAGAGACGGAGTGGAAACTTATCTGAAACTATCTCGAAATCTCTACGGAAAGAACGGCTCGAATTTTTGTTTAAAGACCCGTAAAATATGCACTGCGCCGCCGTGTACAGACTTTTAAAGGGTAAGTAAAGCCAGTAAAAAGTACTACATAAGCTGCAGTAACAGACATAAAAATAAATTATATGTACCTATACAACGACTTAATGTATTGAGTACTAACGCTTACTGCAGGGGGGAAAGGAATTGTTAGTAATGGAGTTTACAGCCCCATAGCTAGCAATATGCCTTGTTAGGTCGACCTCCACGTGGTTCCCCCTGAAAACCATCGTGAACAATTCTTGTTGAATTCGTCACGATGGGCTAACTGACCTACTTCATCCTCACCTATCATCCTTCACTGGTGCTCTGCTGGTGTATACCGATAGCGCGGGTGGGGTTGCCATTCCATTATCATCCATTAAAAAAAACGCTTACTGCATAGCAATACGGATATATAATCATTTGCCTGAAAGTATCAGGAATTGTAATAATTTATCCTATTACAAAAAAAAAAATACTCTTCAAGTTATTTCTGGATAAATGTTATTACTCAGTAAATGAGTTCTTAAATGATAAAATAATTATAAATGATGATTATATATACATATATGTATATGTGTGTGTATATATATGTATGTATATGTGTATGTATGTATATATATGTATATATGTATGTATGTATATATATATATATATATATATATATACATACATATATATATATATATATATATATATATATATATATATATATATATATATATATATATATATATATATATATATTGCTACAGTACATGCTGAGTGGTGACCACGTTGGCAATAATAAATGTAAAGTTTTTTTTTAATTCATAATTTATGTAACTTTTTTTTGTTGTCAATAAATGTTTTCTTTCTTTCTTTCTTCAGATATGTGTTCACTTTGTGTTGTGTATATTTTTAATTAATTTATATTACAATGAATTGACATGAATAGATAAGTGGTATATAAATGTACAAAAAGTGACAAAATATTATTGCAAATGTATATGTTATTATGATGAAATTATTTTAATTTTTTGTTTAATAAGTTTTTATATTTGCACGCCTACAAGACTTACTACAAGATTGGACTATTTTTCTTGTAAAGTAACACCTAACAAAACATAAAAATGTACCTTATTCCAGCAAATAAATGATTTCAAATTCAATTTACAGTATTCCTATAATATTTTTAATAAATAGATAGTGACATATACAGGTAGATGCTTTTTATTGCTCTGTAGTGAACTTAACAAATATTACATAAAAGAAAAAAAAACAAAAACTTCAAACTAGTTGCTAGGATCTCGAGCAAGAATAATTTGTATTATAAGAGCCAGGCTATAGACATCTGGGGGCCACAACCCAGAACACTTTATGGCCTTAGTTAAGCCTATAGAATCTTTTACTCCACAATTTTGAACTATAATCTCACTTACCTGAGGACACATTTTGCAGTGGTACTTCCGCGTGTGCGCATGCAGAGGTTGCAGCTTTGTGGGACCCTTCCCAAGAGGTTGAGGTACGACCAGTAGCCCGCTGCCAGCGTTGGCGCCCCCTACTGGTGATGATGAGGATGACCCTGAAACGATTAGAAAGGCAAGTTAAAAAGAAAGAAAGAAATATGTATTATTAATGATTAATTCTATATTTAATTACAAAAAACATATAACAATAAATAGAAGTGAATTAAAAAAACACTGAAATAGTATGTATCACTCAGCTATATGCTATATAGTTACTTGAATGTCTCTTCTACTGTTTTTTTAGGGGTAATTACAATGGCGGCCATGTTTACTTTATTTTTCTTTTGAAGGAAAGTTTGAGTACGACGAAGTTCGAGTATTTCTTTAATTTTACACTTTCATATAATGACAACCGGTTTAACCGGTACAATTCGTGTTCCTTAGTGAGTCAGGGACGTTGTCGCGTCACAGTCGCTCATGATTACGGATCACGAATTGATTCTGAAACTAGTCTAGCTTTTCGTACCAATTATACGTAAGGTAAACCGGTAGTTTTTTTTTTTATTTTTTGATTAGCCATGAATTAACCATGATAGTTTCCAGAGAGAACCGCGAGGAGGTCGACCTGGTTGAGTATATTGCTAGCAATGGGATTCTCAGTCTCCATTACTAACAATCCCTTTCCCCCCAGTAGATATATATAATAGTAGCAGCAGTTATATAAGAAAAATCATCCTAATTATTTCCCATTAATTGTTTCTCATTAATTGTTTTTAACGACGGTTAACCTGTGTTCTCAAATGTATTAATTATCTATACTGTAGTTCTGTATCTCATAGGAATTTTATCAAAATCGATTCAGTTGTTTAGTTTTTAAATCAAAATAAATTTTCCTCGGATTGAAGTCCGTTTTTTTATGAAACATAATGTTTTATATTTGTAGACGATAGTTAGATGGGTCGTCAGCTAATTTAGGCACTGTTTTTAAGTCCTTACATGACTAAGAAGAGAAGAGAAGAAGAAAGTACAAACCTGACCGTCCAGGCCCCAGGCCCGCGCCGTACAGCATCTGACTCATCGACTGATGGTGACCAATCCGGTCATCTGCCTTCTGATGACCACCAACGGTACCGTCCCCCGTACTCATTTTCGCCTGAAACAGAAGGATTTACAGTCAATTTATTTCAATGTTTTTTATTATTTAAGAACAGAACAAGAAGTCCCATTCGTGTTTCTACCGTGAAGCAGTTGTGTTTGCATGGCTGTGTTTCGGTCTGAAGGGTGGAATATGGCGTGAATTTACAGGGTACAGATGAATAACACCTGAGTCCTCAGGAATGGCAACGCATGGGGGGTATCATGGGCGAAACAGTATACTCTGTTATGTCCATGGTACTGCTCATGTCTATAGGCGACGGTTACCACTTTCTATCAGGTAGGCCATCATTTTGTTTGCCATTTTAAGTTGTATAAAAAAAAATGGATAATGAATGTAGGAAAGAATCTCTGCCTTTTTTGAAGTCGTCTAAAAATAGAGCTGAATTGAGAATATTCTTCAGTAAGTAATATGTAATTAGAATAAGAATAAGGAGCGTGTGGTCCCAGTATAGAGAAAGCTACCACTTTCTTTTCTGTAGGTGCCGTAAGAGGCGACTAAGTGAACTCAGTGATCGAGGGATGGCTAGCAGCGCACTTCTTAAAACATCACCAAAGCTTTCCTGCGGTTGCTTGTCAAGCGTCGCCACTACTGGTAAAATATTCGTTATGGGGGAGGCCCATGTTCAGCAAAGCACAGTTAACGACTTATATCTAATATACAAAAGTCGCACGCTTGGGTACCTCTGTCCCATTCGTGTTTTTACCGTGCAGCAGTTGTGTTTGCATGGTTGTGTTTCGGTTTCAAGGGTGGGATATGGCGTGAATTTGCAGGGTACAGAGGAATAACACCTGAGTCCTCAGGAATGGTAACGCATGAGGGGTATCATGGGCGAAACAGTATACTCTGTTATGTCCATGGTACTGCTCATGTCTATAAGTGTCGGTTACCACTTTCCATCAGGTGGGCCGTCAGCTTGTTTGCCATTCTAAGTCGTATAAAAAAAATAACATTGTGTCGATATATATAACAAAAATGTAACTAAACTATGTCTGTATATAGGATACACTTAAGAAAATATGTATGAGGTGTAATATCAAAAGAAGTAGAAGCAACAATTTTTAAAATTCTCTGTCTGGCAGTCTGTTTGTTCGTTCCAACATCAAATAATAATTACTACACCAAATTGAATGCGATTTTCATAGTTGTACTCTTAAAAGTCGAATTTAAAATGTGACGTATTGATGTATCTTTACATGCAATCCAAAAGATATCTTTTGCATTAGGTTTTTTACTTCGTAAATCTAAGCATAACATAAAATAAATAACTTCGACTATAAAGTAGTTTCTATTGAAATTACAAACAAACAACATATTTATATATACATATATAAAAACGACAGAGAATAAGTAAGACCCGAAGTCGGTCAGTTGCTCTCAAACTAGATCGGGTACCGATAAATGTGGTCATATAAATCATTTTAGGGGTTGAGACACACTGTTGTCCAGATTATTAAATGGTACCTACGGCATTGGGATACGTTGTTGGGATACGTTATCATTAGTACGGGTACTACTGTCCCATTATGGTCTCTATCACCAATCATTAGAGATGGTCAATATCTGATATCTATATATATATATATATATATATATATATATATATATATATATATATATATATATGCTTCTGGACATTGATGAGCATCCATTGAGATACCCATACCATCCGATATCTATATATATATATATATATATATATATATATATATATATATATATATATATATATATATATATATATATATATGGGATAGAGAAAGACAGACATATTTATCTCAGTCAGACGAAAACATGGGTAAAAGCTAGTAAAAGTTTTTTCATTCTTTTATCTCTTTTACTGTGTATTATGTGTATATATTTTTTTTTATTGTAATTTGTGTGCTGTAAGTCATGTAAATAAATTATATATCTATCCAAAAAAAATCGTACAAAAAATGTAGCCAATGATTAGTATTTCATCTTGTATTCTTGTCAGCGGTGTGTATCGTTACAATTGTCTGCCGATGGCCGACTTACCTCACTAGTTCTGGGGTGGGCCGCAAAAACAACCCCTTGGTCACGTGACATCTTAGTGGCAATATACAGAGCGATCATAACCGACATGTTGTTTAACAGAGTACCGAGTTTACTATTTACTGTTTGTTTACATAATAAGACTTTTAGAGACATAGGTCTGTTTGAATCGTAATGTTTGGTGTTTCATTGTTTTTGCCTACCCCACTAGGAGACAGGCGTGATGGACATGTATGTAAGTAAGATTCTTTATGTGAATATCCATAATTAAGTTATGAAAATGCAGATGTAACTTGGTAAAATGGGATCACTATCAATATCACAGGAGGTTATTAGAATAAAAGTTTTGTTCATTTTGATTGAATGAATGATTGTTTGAATTAAATTAACGAAGATGACTGATTAAGATAAGAATAAAGTTTGGTACAAAAATAATTAATATACCCTTTTTGTAGAACCCCATACTGTAATCTCTAGGGAAAACCTCGGCAGGGAGCTTATTCCATAGCCTGAGCGTTCACGAGAGAATACTGCTCTGATATCGCACTCTACCATTTAGGTTCTGACCATTGAAATGATATTTGAAACACATAGACCATATTGTAATTTATGAATAAACGATAATTCCCGTTTCTTTTGACGACTACATTAATTTTGTCGTGACAATAAAATTGTACGATAAGTTTTAACAATTTAATGTATCATGTTAAATTATTCAAAGATATTGAACGTATTTATAATATTTGACCGAATGATATGAATGAGCGAATGAAAACTCTTTATCGTTCCCTTCGAAGAATGATAAAATTTTTTTTTATACCACTGAGGTGGCAAACAAGTATACGGCCCACCTGATGGTAAGTGGTTACCGTAGCCTATGAACACCTGCAATACCAGAGGTATTACGCGTGCGTTGCCGACCCTGAAGAAACTTTTTTACCCCCCTTTTGAAGAACTCTATGCTGTAGTCTCTTGGGAAAACCTCGGCGGGGAGCTAATTCCACAACCTGAGTGTTGGTGGGAGGAAACATCTCTGAAACCGCGCAGTACGCGACCATTGAGGCTGTAGGATATGAGGATGAACTCCCTGTCGATGGCGAGCCGTACGATGGTAGAAATTGGCTGTGGGCATCATATTGAACAATTCCTCTGAGCACAATCCATTGTACAGGCGGTAGAACACGCAGAGTGAATAGTTTAGAAATATTGCCATTATGTTTACATACCAAATGCATACCTAATTATATATACCTGCTTAATTACATACAATCAAGATAAAGATAAGAATGGGAGGCCTTATCACTAAATAGCGATCTCTTTCAGGCAACCTTAGAAGATTCGAGAAGATTAATTAAAATTGTGTCTGGTCAAGACGTAGCAGAAAAAAGTAGGGCTAATGAGACATTTAAAAGCTTTATAAACAATATAAGATAAAAATATACTGACACATTTATAGATATATTTATTTATATTTCTTTTATTTTATTACAGGGTATTATCATCTCTTGTTGATTCCGTTAACACTTAAATGACAGTCCGAGGGCCACAGTTCAAAACTAAAATGTAAACGTTAATTTTAACTAAAGCAACAATCGTAATTCAGTGACCACGCGGCTGTTGGGACAAATCGTGCGTTATTAATGCATCTCGGACGTCCTTAGCTAAATCATTTAATTTAGCCACCCCAACTTTGGTCTTTTGATGTATGAGTGTTATCAGGAACGGGTTATTTGTTAGTGTCCGGTTTTAACAAAAGAGATCTATCGTTGCAATCGGATGTATGTATTGTTGTTTGTTTGTAGTGCCTTGACCGACTTCGGAAAAGAGGATCTTAGTTCGACTCGACAAAATGGGTGTAATGCTATTTGATATCTTAGTTTGTTGTAAAACGTAATAATGTTTATAATCATACAATGTTGTTCTGCAATGAAAGAAAATGGATCTGGCTCATTTAAATTTTTTAAATTTATTTTATTTTTTGTTTTAATATAAAGGTAGATGATTCTAATTTACAATTGCTTAATTTAACTTTAACACTTTTGTAACTTATCACATGCAAGTCGATTACGGAGTTTCTTTTCCTTCAAAATACGGTAAATCTGATCATAATGGATTTATCCTCTCGGTATCATCTGTTCACTTTTGCATTTTAATTTAAAAGATGATGAATTTTAATCATTTTCTTACTTATATTATTTACGAAATCATTGTAGTGGAATAGAGCGAAGCAAAAAAAACATATTTTCTATTTTAAAATAACAAGGTGTTACCTAGCAACTGGAATATATAAAAAAGGTACAATAGATAGATAGATAAACACTTTATTTGAGCCATTTAACACACGTAAATTAATTAATAAATTAATTTACGTGTAATATATAATATATATATATACAATAAAGTAAAATGTCCCAGTTATTACAATATTTATATTCAACATTAATTAACCGACTTCAGAAAAATGAGGTTCTCAGTTCGGTTGTTTATTTTTTATGTTCGTTATCTCAGAACTTATCTTCATTCTTACTAATATTATAAATGCGAGAATTAGTTTCTCTGTTTGTTTGTTACCTTATAGACATTAACGGCTTAAACAATCCCTATGAAATTTATATACAAGTATATATACAAGTATACACGTATTGTACGGGTTGGAGAAGGATTTACATTATTTTTCATCCCGATCAGTAAACATATATCGGTTACGCAGAGGAAGTTGCGGGTAAAAGGTAATATACTTACAAACGAATTTGGAAAAATTACCTTTTATTTGAAACGATATATTTTTAGATTTATCGCATAGAAATTTCATTAAAATCAGTTTAGTAATTTAGTTGTTAAATTAAAATAACTGGTTTATAGTTGTTTAATTTTAATTCAGTCGAGATCGAAGTCGGTTTTTTTCTGTGAAGTAGAATCTAGTTTTTGTAAAACAATTTAATATCAAAATTCCAAGCATTCAAATATCTAACGGTGAAGGC